AAGCAGGGGGAGTGGGAGAGGGAGAAGCAGGCTCCCTGCTTAGCGGGGAGCCCAATGCGGGGCTGGATCCCTGGACCCTGGGATCATGACCTGAGCCGAAGGCAGATGCTTAACCGTCTGAGCCACCCAGGCGCCCCTGGTTTGGATATTCTAAATTTCTTCTAAGGTGGTTATTTACTGCCAGCTACATTTTTGTTTGCTACATGTAGCTCTAGAGTTGTGTCTTCCTTCCTTGCTTGATGTTGAGATTTTTTTTTATCATGAGAATCATCATTTATCTCACTCTACATTTCTTGGACATCTGCCTCTCACTATTTATTACTGCTTTCAGGCACAGGGCTTCATAGAAGAGATCCAGAAACTTCTGTAACAGCTGAACTAGACCAATGGTCAAGAAATAGGAGCTTGTTTTTAATTCATAAAATTATTCTTCTTAAATCCTGACCCTGGATTTTTGTGAATTTTACATCCTCCTTTCAGTAGTTTTAATTCAGAGTCAACTTGCTGGCTTAGAGCTTCCCATTTATCACAGAAGAAATCCCCTCTAACTTCCCATAGGGCAAAGTATTGTGGATTGATGCATATTGAGCTACTTTTGTTCTTAGTATCAAATAGTGGTTATGGTAAATGCTCAGAACTTTCCCAGCGGGGAATCGTATCCATGCAAAGGTGCAAAATAGAAGGGGGTGCCTTATCTTAAATTTTAGGATGTGTCCTTCATTGTGTATGATTCCATCATTTTATAGTGGGGAGAGTTTGTTATATTTTCTACTTAAAAAGTTGATTTCTAAAAAATGCCTCCCTCCCCTCATTTTTGGAATGAGTGTTGCCAGTGGGGTAGAAGGACGTGTGGTAGAGGCCTTGTTAAATAACTGAGCTATTCCGTGTGTTTTTATGCACTTGCCGTGCTAGTGCCAAGAATGGAGGTAGTTCCGGGAGGTCTTCCCCAGAGCCCTCCTGTCTGGCTTGGTCATGTAATAGCAAGTTGCTGGGGGTGTGGTGGAGCAGAGAACTCTTCTTTTAATGGTTCCTTGTTACAGCCCTCAGCAAAGCTGTGTCAATTCCCTTGGCTTTACAGACTATTGCCCAGAAGAAAAGATGTTTGGTTTTCACAAGCCAAAGATGTACCGAAGTATAGAGGGCTGCTGTATTTGCAGAGCGAAGTCCTCCAGTTCTCGATTCACTGACAGTAAACGCTATGAAAAGGACTTCCAGAGCTGTTTTGGGTAAGATCATCTGATGTTTTTTTACCATTCCTAGAGTGAAAAAGATCACAGCTTACGGAAATATTTCCAAGCAAGGCAGGCAATTGGAGTAACGTGCTAATAAATTAAAATCACTTGCATTCTCATCTAGGCTATTTTAAGGCTCTTGCTTTGAAAACGAACCAAACAATACTGACCACTTAACCCTTTTCCAGATTATAAGGAACTACTGTATTGGAAGCCCCTTAGTTATACCAAACTTTTTTGTTTTTAACTCCAAGATATATGGAGACTTTACTCTTACTCTCTCTTAATAGTCGTCTTCGATAGTTTTCTATTCTTTGCATTGTTTTTCTAAATTATGGAAACGTATTTTAACTCAGCCTCCTGAGGATAATAACAGGACTTACTGTTCTGCCCTGAAGTCTGTCAGGGTATGTTTCATTTTATAATTTTGTTCTATATTTATCTTTTTTTTTTTAAGATTTCTTTATTGGGGGGGAGGGGCAAAGGGAGGGGTAGAGAGAGAATCGAGCAGACTCCCTGCGGAGTGCAGGCAGTAGGTGGGGCTCCATCCCAGGACCCTGAGATCATAACCTGAGCTGAAATCAAGAGTTGGACGCTTGACTGAGCCATCCAGGTGCCCGTCATTTATCTTTTGACAATAAACCTCTGGTTAATAGAATGGAATTTACTTTCTGACAAATACTTGGGTAAAATACTTAGTGTTGAACCATTTCCCATGTTAGAAGTTATTTTTACCACCTTTTTTTAATCAAAATACCTGTTGATTGTTTATTTGTTAATCCTGGATTTTGTAGTTATTTTGAAGGTTGTCAAAGAATTTCTCCTGACCTTGCCTTTTTAAATTACATTTTTCTCTTACTCTTTCCAATGGTATACATGATAAAAGTTACCAGTATTTTTCTGTATGTATATATAATACAGGAAAGGTGTATTAAATGGAAGTTTCTCAAAGATAAAATTTAAAGAGCTTGGTGACTAGTCCTATAGATTTTTCCCCCTATGCAGATGCAGTCATTTTGAAAAAATTACAGTGCCTCTCCAGTTATGTGTCTTGTAAAACTAGAATATCATGGGGCGCCTGGGTGGCTCAGTCGTTAAGC